GCCCCCCAGCCCAGACAGGAGGATCCCCCAGCCCAGACAGGAGGACCCCCCAGCACAGACAGGAGGACCCCCCAGCCCAGACAGGAGGATCCCTCAGCCCAGACAGGAGGATCCCCCAGCCCAGACAGGAGGATCCCCCAGCCCAGATAGGGAGGAGCCCCCCAGCCCAGACAGGAGGACCCCCGCAGCCCAGACAGGGCAGATGAAGACCTCTGTGGTTTTCAGGCCCCTTGTGCTCATGGCTGTGGCCCCATGGGGCCCTGTGTCCTGTCCAGGGGGTAGACCCTTGCTGCTGGGCCCTGGGGGCCTCCTGGCTCTAGGCTCCTCCCTAGGCACAGCTGCCTGCGGGTGTCCATCAGGCTGGGGCCTCAACTGTGGATTCCCCGCAGGAAATTGTGACCATCGTGGTGTTTGGAGTGGAGTACTTCGTGCGCATCTGGGCCGCGGGCTGCTGCTGCCGGTACCGCGGCTGGCGGGGGCGACTCAAGTTCGCCAGGAAGCCTTTCTGTGTGATTGGTGAGGCTCATGGGGTGGGGTCGGGGGTGGGGCGCAGGGGCCGGCCTGGAAGGAGCTGGTGTTCATGCCGCCTGCAGCAGGCTGGCCAGATGCCAGGACCAGCTTCTTCTGGAAGTTTCTTCTCCCCATGGGTAGAGCCCATGATTGGTGTGGGCAGGGTGTCAGGGGAGGGACAGGAGCCAGGCAGCCTGCCCCAGACCCCACAGGCAGGGTGCACAGTGGAACTGCCCATCCTAGGGCCTGGCGCTGCCCAGATTCCTGCGAGGCTCAGCATGCACCACCATGTCCACCTGTCCCTTCAGGGTGAGGGACGGTGGCTCTGAGGGGAGGGAGGCCAGGTCCACCTGTCCCTTCAGGGTGAGGGACGGTGGCTCTGAGGGGAGGGAGGTCAGGTCCACCTGTCCCTTCGGGGTGGGGGATGGTGGCTCTGAGGGGAGGGGGCCATGTCCACCTGTCCCTTCGGGGTGTGGGGGTGGTGGCTCTGGGGGGAGGGGAGGGCCATGTCTACCTGTCCCTTCGGGGTGGGGGCGGTGGCTCTGAGGGAGGCCGTGTCCACCTGTCCCTTTGGGGTGGGAGGCCGTGGCTCTGAAGGAGGGAGGCCGTATCCACCTGTCCCTTTGGGGTGGGGGCGGTGGCTCTGAGGGAAGCCGGGTCCACCTGTCCCTTCGTGGTGGGGGCGGTGGCTCTGAGGGAGGCTGTGTCCACCTGTCCCTTCGGGGTGGGGCGAGACCGTGACCCTGCCGTCTCTGCAGACATCATGGTGCTCATCGCCTCCATTGCCGTGCTGGCCGCGGGCTCGCAGGGCAACGTCTTCGCCACATCTGCGCTCCGGAGCCTGCGCTTCCTGCAGATCCTGCGCATGATCCGCATGGACCGGAGGGGGGGCACCTGGAAACTGCTGGGCTCTGTGGTCTACGCCCACAGCAAGGTGAGTGGCCCGGGCTGCAGGGCCCAGCCAGCCCCAAGGCCGCTGCCACCTGAGTGTTTCCTGGGTCCCTCTGCCCTGGGCCTGCTGCAGGGCTTCTGGCCTGGGAGGAAGGGCCAAGGGCTGGGCTGCTCAGGTGTGGAGCAGCCTCCCTCCCCTTCCGTCTCGGGGTTTCTCTCTGAGACTCGACCTGATTTTGTCATCTGCCCCCGGAAAGCTGCTTTCCTGCATGGCCAATCGGCTGGGCCCCTCCTGGAGCCGCTGGCGCTGTGGTTGGGTGTCTCATTTCCTGGTTTGGAGCGCCTGGATCGATACACCGCTGGAGTCACCTGCCGGCTGCTTGTTTAAGCTGTGGCTGGCGTGGCTGCTGTCTGGGGGACCTGTGGGGTGGCTGCAGCCACGTGCCTGTGTTTCTGGGGCCTGAGGCCCCTAGTGGCCAAGACCCCCGTCCTGCCAGATTGTGCTGTAATGTAAACTTGTGTGGCTGGGTTATTTGCCTAAATGGTCCCTTCCCGTCTTCCTACCTGCCAGAGCCCTGTGTGGCCGTGCCAGCTTTGGGGCAGGAGTCAGGCCCTGGGGGAGGTGGGCTCCCTATTGCCTGGCCCCTGCTTCTTCCCTGAGTGTTGGGGTGGTGAGATGCAGCTGGGTGGGCCAGCCTCCCCTGTGGAGCTGTCTGGAGGGCTTTCTCCAGGCCTGCCTGTGTTGGCAGACACTCCAAGACCTGGGTGAGTGCTAGCCCACTGGCCATGGGCTGCTGTTCTTCCAGGTCTCCATGTGCAGATGGAGGGCCCAGCTCAACAGAATTGCACAACCATGTCCCCTCCCATCTGGGTTGTAACCCTCCAGCCCACCCCTGCAAGGGCAGTGCCGGTCTGCCTTGGGGGTCAACCCCAAACTCTGGAGATGCAGAGACTAGTAGGCTCCTGGGCTGGACGCTGGCCAGGCTAGCTGAGCACTGCAGTGATGTGGCCCGTCTTCCCTGCAGGAGCTGGTCACTGCCTGGTACATTGGCTTTCTCTGCCTCATCCTGGCCTCATTCCTGGTGTACCTGGCAGAGAAGGGCGAGAATGACCACTTCGACACCTACGCAGACGCACTCTGGTGGGGCCTGGTGAGTCCCAGCCTGTGGACCTTGGGTCAGCGTTGCTTTCCTGAGGGCGCACAACTACCTCCTCACACCCTCCTGCCCAGTCCAGAGGCTGCGCCTACCCTCAGGGTCTGCAGAGGAGACCCACCTGCCCTTGAAGAGCAGGCTGGCCACATCTCTTGGGGGCCATCTGCTGGCTGCGCATGGACAGCCTGTGGAGGTGGTGGCAGAGGTTGGGGGTGGCTGTGGATGTGCGCACACACGTATGTGTGTGTATGTGCACATGTGTATGCGTATGTGTGTGGTGTGTATGTATGTGTGTGTGTGGGTGCACGTGTGTATGTACATTCATATGTGAGCATGTGCATGTGTATAACATACATGTTTACACTGTGTGTGCACAGGTGTGTAATGAGTATGTAATAAGTGTGTTTGTATGTGTGCATGTGCAGTGTGTGTTGTGTGTGTGCAGATATACATGTGCACATATGTGTTTGCACATGTGTGCAGCATATATGTAAGTGATGTGTATGTTTGCACGTGTATGAGTGTAATGTGTGTATGTGTGCAGTGTGTATGTGTTTGTGTGTATACATGTGCATGCATTCACCTGTGTAATGTGTGTGCATGTATGTGCTTGTGTATGCACATGTGCTTGTGTAATGTGCGTGTGCATGTATGCGCATGAGTCGTGTGTGTGTGTGTGTGTGCACGTGCACCAGCACTGGGAAGAGCTGGGCTCTCTGCCCGCTGACAGCTCACCTGCCCTTTACCTGTATGCCGGGGTGCGTGGGAGGAGAGAGGATGGGGGTTCTGAGAGCCCTGGACAGCTGGGGCTGTCTTGAGGCTCCCAGATCAGGGGCCAGACCCATGGCCTCTCATCCATCTGGGGTAGGGCTGGAGGCTTGCCTGTCCCAGGACACCCCTTCTGGACTCCCAGCCTGGCTCTGCCCCCCATGGTGAAAGGGACGCTGCTCTCTATGGCCTCCCTGGCTCAGCCTTCCAGGCTGCCCTGTGCAGGGTGGTGTGGACCCTGGGGATGGTGGTCCTGCTTGCAGGGCCACCCCTCCCCAGGGCCACTCCTGGTCCCACTGCTGCTCTGGTGCCCAGACTGCTGCTCCGCACTGTCCACCGCCCCCGGCCTCTCCCCGTCTGTCCCTCCACTCGTGCTTTTCTACCACCTTTCACTGCCACGGAGCCACGTGTTGGGGAGTGGCAATGAATTAGTGTTTTGTGTCTTCAAAAATAAGTCTTGGTGTGTTAAAAAGCTGCACGCGAGGCCCGAGTCTGTGGCAGAGCCTCAACTGGGCGGGTTTGTGGTGGGCAGTGTCCCCTGGCCCACTGTTCCCTGCACCCGCTTCCCAGTGCCCTTGGTGTCCAGAACCTTCTCTGCAGGTCCTGCAGCTGGCTGTGAGGTGCGCTTGCTCTCACTGCTCTGCACCGTCACCAGGGCCACAGCCTCCTTGGCCACCTGGGCTGCTGTCCCTGACCTCAGACTGCCCAGTTTGCTCTCTGTGCCTGGGCCAGGTGCCTGGAGCCTGGGCCCCTGGGCCCCGTGAAGGCCCCACCCTCTCAGGGTGGTGGCCCACCCCTGGTTCCAGATAGCGATGTCCTCTGTTGGCCCCTGTGGTCCCGGTGGTGGGGTTGTCAGGTTACCTGCAAGCACCTCCTGCCCTGGCCCCCGGTCACCGGGCTTCCCTCAGGGTGCTGTCATGAGGGGCCACTCCCGCTGCCCTGGCCTTACTGGGAGGGTGCCGTGGCAGCAGAGGCCCCTTGTTGGTCCAGCTGGGTTCTGAGTAGTCCCCCAGGGGTGTAAAGGAGCCTTTGGGTGAGTCCCCAAGTGCTCCGTAGCCCAGGGTGGGGGGCCTCCGTGGCAGCCACTGCCTGCCTGGCGAACTGACCCAGCCCCTGCCCGACAGATCACCCTGACCACCATTGGCTACGGGGACAAGTACCCCCAGACCTGGAACGGGAGGCTCCTGGCAGCGACCTTCACCCTCATCGGTGTCTCCTTCTTCGCCCTTCCTGCGGTAAACCTCCGCGTCTTCCTGTGGGGAGGGGCCAGGCTCCCCATGACCCTTGACAACAGGCCACCCTTGTGGGGACCTCACCCCGGGCTGCAGTGGAGGCTGCCCTGGCTAGGACCCCGTGACCCCGAGCTGGCAGCCTCCCTGTCGTGCGCTCCGGGGTCCCAGGCTGTGACTTGTGACCAGCTCTTATGGTCACTGTGACTTCTGTCCAAACACCTGGATAGAGAGGTCCTTGGCACCCGCAGCACTGCAGCATGGTGACAGCTCCCCTGTCAGGGCTCCCTGGGCTCCAGGGCCACCCCAGGCAGAGGGGTGGGGGCTCTGCTGAGCCTTCACAGCACCAGGGTGGGCAGTGGCCAGTGGCATGGGCTGTCCTTTGGCTTTGGTGTGGGTCTGCTGTGCCTCCTGTCGGCCAGCGTGTTCCTTGACCCCAAATCAGAAGGCTCGCCCGGCCTGGTCTCCAGGTGGTTTGGGGTTGGGAGACGGAGGGTGGGACTCTGTGGGCAGGCGGGAGCAGCGGGGTTCCCCTGGGTGTCGGCCGTGGGTTGGGGGTGTAGGCCCACAGGCCTGTTCTGACCCTGGTGACTTGCAGGGCATTCTGGGGTCTGGCTTTGCCCTGAAAGTGCAAGAACAGCATCGGCAGAAGCACTTTGAGAAGAGGCGCAACCCGGCTGCGGGCCTGATCCAGGTGGGTCTCAGCCTCCCACCTTGGGGACTAGGGCCAGCCCCTGTCTGGCCCTCCTGGTGCAGAGGGGAGCCTTCTCGGGGTGAGCCTGAGGGTGGCTGTCCCCAGGACAGGACCACAGTCCCTGTCTCTGCAGGAACATGCGGGGCAACAAGGTTGCCTGGGCCAGTGTGAAACGGGTCAGTGCCTGAGGCTGCGCAGCCCAAGGCCCTTGTCCTGGGGGTGCTCTGCCAGGCCAGGCGGTCCCAGCACTGTTCTGCAGCTGTGGGCCCATGCTTGGTGGGTCATCACTCAGGTGGCAGGTGGTGCCCCGGCGGTGTCTGTGCACCTCTGAGCCTGAGCTGTGCGCGGGGTGTCCTGAGTGCGGCCAGCCTGTCCCACCACGCAGGGGCAGGTGGGTGTGGCGGCCACCTGGATGTGTGGGCAGAAGGGCAGAGGTTCCTGCTGGACCCTCGGGGTGACGGGAGCTTATGGCCGGCCAGGCGTGGCCTGCCTCTGCTGTTTCCTTCTGAAGATGTGGCTCTCGGTCCAGCCCGCTTTTATGTGTGTGTGTGTGTGTGTGTGTGTGTGTGTGTGTGCGTGCGCGCCCAGCTTTTACCTCGAAGCTCCACATGGCCATTTTGTTTGTAATTGCAAAAGAAGAGCAGACCCCCGGAGTCAGCCGCTGCCTCAGGGGCTCAGAGGTCACTCAGGGCAGAGTCAGCAGCCCCCACCTGCTGCTCCTGGAGGTCACTTTAGCGGCCAGAGAAGCCCGTGCCAGCAGAGGGCAGCGCCACGCACTGTGCCCCCTGGGTGTGAGAGGTGAGAGCACACTCACCTCTCAGGCTTGGCTGTCAGGGCTCCCACGACGCCGGGCTGTTCCCAGGGTCTGATGAGTGGGCACAGGATGGAGGCCCTGGCAGAGCAGCAGGTCAGAGGGTTCTTCCTCTGGGGGAAGCTGACCAGTTGTGGGGACAGGAAGCACAGCCCTCTGAGAGGTGCGTGACCTGGTGGACTCCAGCTCCCAGGGAGGAGACGCCCTGGGGAGGCTCCAGAGGAGACCAGGCACTTTGTGCCCCAGGCTTAGGGGCTGCTCCTCCGGAAGCCAGCCCGCTGGGCCGCGGTCCCGCTGTCTTCGCCCACGGTGCTTGTTCACTGGGCAGTGTCACGTGCTAAGTGAAGGGCGCGCCATGTCTGTGGCTGGAGACAGTCCCGTGAGTTGGTCTTGGTGAGACTGGTCACGGACTCGGTGGCATCCCTGCCCCGAGCCCAGGGCCCTGTCTGGAGCTGGAGAGGCTGGTCATGAGGCTCAGGTGGAATTGCAGTGGACGCCAGCCCCATCAGGCTGGAGGCAGGACAGCCAGACGCGCTGCTGCGGCTGGAAGCACTCTGCCCTGGTGGGGACGCACAGGTCAGCGGAGCAGTCCGTCGCCGACCCTCTGTCTGAGGGGCTGATCTCCAGCCAGAGCCCCATGTCCACCTGGGCAGGAAGAGTCCTGGCACATGCTACCAGGACAGCTGGTGTCCTGGGGCTGGGCCTTGCTTTTGCAGTGCTGGGCTTGAGCCTGGGCCTTGCATGTGCTGGCCACGTGCTCCGCCACTCAGCTGTGCCCCGGCTTATTTTTCAAAAATCCATTTTAAAAGAATGGAACTTGTCACTTACGTCACACCATGTACAAAGATCAGTGGAACGGTCATCAGAAACCTGAACGCAGGAGCCAAGGCCACCGCAAGTCTGTGGGACAGTCACGCCCCCTGGCCTGTGCTTCCTGCGACACAGCGGCAAAGCAGGGAAGGGCCAGAGGCTCCTGGAAGCTGTGTGCTGGGTGAGGAGGGCGGGAGACCGCAGCACAGGGCCCAGCATCCACTGGACACAGCAGGTTCGAAGCCCAAAGGGTCACGAGCAGAGGATTTCCAAGAAGATAAGTGGACAGCCAGCAAGCCAGGCTGCTGGTGGCCAGGAAGGTGCAGGCTGTGCCCGTATGGGGCCACTCCCCGCCCACAGGGGAGGCTGAGTGTGGGTGGGAGGAGGTGGCCCTTGCCCTCTGCTGGGGGATGCACAGAGCCACTCCAGGGCTGCCTGGAAGCTTGGCAGAAAGCTGTGGCTCACCCTGCAAGCTACTTCTAGCCACTGGCCAGGAGAACTGAGTCAGCAGGTGGCGTGCCCAAAGCGAGTGCACAGATGTGCACAGAAGCAGTTTACAGTAGCCCCGGGGGGCAGACAAACCTGTCAGTGGACGAGCGGGTGGTCAGGAAGTGGTGCTTCCACACAGTAGAATACTATTCAGCCATCAAAAAGGAACAGTACCCAGGGGCTGGGGCTGGGGCTGGGGCTCAGCGGTAGAGCACTCGCCTGGCACATGCGAGGCCCTGGGTTCGAACCTCAGCACCACATAAAAATAAATAAATAAAATAAAGGTATTGTGTCCAAGTACAACTAAAAAATAAATATTAAAGAAAGAAAGAAAAGGAGCAGAGCCCAGGCCTCAACGGGGGCCACCTGAGGACGTTTCGCTCAGCAACCGAATCCACACGGGGCAGACCAGAGTGTGGCTCTCACACTAGGCAATGTCCAGAACAGGAGTGGGAACAGCGGCTGTGGGTCCTGGGGAGGGGACAGGAGCAGGCATGTACGTGGCCCCCGGAAGGTGAAGCAGCTGCGGGGACCAGCAGGTCACAGTTGGTGCCACCCTAGGAGGAAGTGCAGGGAGCACACCCCTAGGCAGAGGTCAGCCTGGAGGACAGGCCCACAGCCTAGCGCTCAGCGCGCCTTCCCCCTGTGGTGGCCTGTTAAGGCTGGGGGCGGACGGAGGCGGGTGGGGCGGGCGGCCTGGCGGGAGCGGAGCCGCTGAGCTGGCCTTGCCCCCCCCACCCCGCAGTCGGCTTGGAGGTTCTACGCCACCAACCTGTCCCGCACGGACCTGCACTCCACCTGGCAGTACTACGAGCGCACCGTCACCGTGCCCATGTACAGGTACCCGCGCCAGCCCCGCCCCTCGAGCCAGGCGTGGTTTTGATTTCTGTCTGTTCTTAAGCCCCATTTTCTGTTGTTCATTATTTTGACGGATTTTTATTTCTCTTTTTCTTTAAAATGTATGCATTTTTCAAAAAAGAACCGTGTGTGGTTTATTTCAAAGCATTTGTTTGGTTCCTTGCTTCCGTGTCTCAGCTTTTGTTTTGCACCCGCCCCTTTGCTTTCTGTCCTCTGCTATGTGCCCCCAGTACCACCAGCTGAGTGCTGACCACAGTGCTGGGTGCAGAGTCTTCCATGGCCGGTAGGCCCCAGCTGCAACCTCTGGGGGATGATGGTGACCCCAGCAAGGAGCAGGCGTCCTGTGTGGGGGAGGGGAGAGACCCCCAGACCACAGGAGGGCACTTGGGCTAGGAGACCACACTCTCCAGGGGTCCCAGGTGCCCCCAACAGGACACCCAGGCCTGGGAAGGAGGCAGATGGGCCCCTTGGCCTGCTGGTCAGCTGTCAGGGTAGGATCTGTCTATGCTGGGCTCTTGCTTGGGTTGAGGTCTGGGTGAGAGGAGAGCGTCTGTGCAGCTGGGTGCTGCTGGCTAAGTCCCTCTGCCCTGAGGCCATCCTGCGGGATGGGGTCCTTCCAGCTTTCTCACCTGCTCCGGGGTGTTTTTGCCCACCCAGCCCATCCGGGTGGGTGCAGAGAGCCTGGTGGGGATCTGAGGCGGGGCTCACCGAGGGCCCTGCAGCCCTGGGTGGCCCGGCCCTGCCCTCACATCCACCCGCTGGTGCCTCTGGAGCCGAGCCCGGGAGCCTGCGCCCTGGACCGCACGCATGCAGCGACCGTGCGCCGTGCCCGGGCCGGGCAGCGGCGGGGCTGGGCCTGTGCTAATTCTCTCTGTTCTGTTGTCCCCCTCTTCCCCGACTATTTTTTTGTTTTCGTTTTCTTTTTCTTCCCCCGTTCTCTCCACGTTTCGGTTCCTCTCCCCTGTGTGTGTGGAAACTTGAAAGCTCACAAACTCAAACCTACGGGGCCTCCAGGTAGGAACTGCATGGCGGAGCTGTGTGTGTGGCGCCTCCCTCCAGTCTGCCGGGGCAGACACCCTCAGGTCTTGCTCCCTGTGGCCCTCCCTGCCTGGAGCCCAGCCCACCCCTCACCCCTCGCCCTGCCCCCTTGGAGCTGCTTCCTGTTGCTGGCCCCTGTGTCCCTGGCCATCTTTCGTTCTTGTTCTGCTTTGTGCCTTGTCTCATAGCTGTGGTCCCCCGTCCCTGCCCCCACCTGCACCCCACGGCCCTGCTTGTGAACAGAGTTGTGGATGTGGGGCCACCGTGTGGCTTGGGGACTGGGTCAGGGCCAAGAGCGTATCCCAGACAGAACCCCAGGCAGGGGAGGCCATGCACACCAGGGCACCTGCTCTGGCAGCCTGCCTCTGGGCTCTCCCCGCCCCCCGGAGCCTCTCAGTTGCAGGGTGGAGTCCAAGGCCTGGGAGCCTCCCTACTGGATCAGTGTGCCCATACCTGATGACCCTTGCTGAGTCTTGTCCCCTGTGGGGTGCTGTGGAGTGACCACAGGAAGCTCCTCCTCACATACGGTGCCAGTACAAGGGCCCTCCCCTGACAAGTGTGTGGGCCTGGGCTGGATGAAACCACGTCCCTGTCCAGCCCCTCTCCAGAGGCCAGCAGGGGCCTGGTCAGTGGGCCCAGATCCCCTCTGTGGAAAGAGGCCTGCCCAGGCGTGGGGTTGGGTGAGGAGGTCAAGCTTAAAGAGTGGGGCTGCTGTGCTGGGCAGAGGTGGGTCAGGCCCCATGGGCATTACCCCCAGTGTCCTCTTCCTGGACCCCTGGGCTCCTTGTTCCCTGGAGTGACGATGTCATGTCTCCCTCGGCCCTTGTCTAGCCAGAACTGCACCCAGAAGTAAGATGCACCAGTGTCTGCAGAGCCCTGGCCTGGCTGGATGGGGTGTCCCCTAAGGCTGGCGGACCCTTGGCCAGCCCATGTTCTCTCCGGGGCACCCCCACCCCTCCCTAGCACGCAGTGCCCTCGTCCTCCAGGACTGCTCCCAGCCGCCCTGGGCTCTGCCCGGCTCTACCTGCCTACCCTGGTGCCCTGCCCCTGGTGTCCCAGGCAAGACACCTTCTCTGGCTCCAAGGATGGTGTCACCTTTCTTATCGGAGCCTGCATGTGTGGGGGCCCAGGGCGGAGTGGTCCCCGGCTCCCTGCTCCAGGCATCAGTGGGGTAGCCGGGGAGGGTGGGGAGGCCAGCTGGGTCCCTGTGGACAGACTCTGCACCCTGCTGCCTCACCTGGTTGCTGGCCCCAGCTTTGGGCTGAGCCACTGGACATTGGTAGCCTGGGGGGGGCAGGCAGGGGGAGAGCTCGCAGGACCACCCCTCTAGGGCCTGGCTCTGCTGGGGGTCGGGGGCAGCCGGGCCAGGAGCCGAGGGGTTGTGGGGGTGGCAGTGTCTGTTGCAGGTTGAGCTGGGGAGGATCTCTGCGTGGAGGAGCCGGGCAGATGTGAAATGAGGGGGTGACTGGTTGGGCCAGTGGGATCAATTGTCCTTTGGCTTTGGGGCCAGGGAGTCACTTAGTGAGAGAGGCAAGGATGTGGGCCCATCTGGAGGACACACTCGGGTGGGGCTGGGCAGAGCAGGTGGCAGTGGTGGGAGGGTCTGGGTGGGGCTTGGCAGAGCAACCAGGAGGTACTGGAAGGGTGTCCCCAGCAGACACTGAGGCCATGTGGGTGTCAGAATGGGTGAGGGCTGGGCAGGGAGGTTAGTCCTGCGCTGCCACTGAGGACCAGGAGGACAGAGGTGAGAAGGGGTGAGGGTTCAGGGCCAGGGTCTCAGAGCTTTGTCGGGGCTCCACGGAGCTGGGGGCTGAGGGGGCAGCGAAGGCTCTGCAGAGTGAGGGTGTCATGATCAGGGTGGAGCTGAGTCAGGCCAGGAGTGAGGGGTGTCGGAGGCCAAGAGCCAGGCAGCTGAGGTGGGAGCAGAGGGAGAGGGTCGCCCAGATGCGGGGAGGAGCCCCGCCTCCCAGGCCTGAGTGCATTTTCCCCAGTCAGTCTGCAGGACCTGTCCCTGGTTGTGCCAGGGCTCAGGAGTGGCTGGATGTAGCGCGGGTAGGTAGGGCTGGCGCGAGGCTGCTGGGCTGTGTGTGGCCAGATCTGGGGAGAAGGGAGCAGAACCGGGTCACTTGCCAAAGTTCCCAGGGCTTGTCCCCCGGCTGTCCAGGCCACTCATCTTCAGACCTAGAGATGAGCTTCTCTGATCAGGAAAGCCCTGCAGTGGCCTTGGCTCCTGCCTGCCCCAGCTTCCACAGGGAACGTGGCTCTGCGGCAGGACTTGAGGGCCTGAATGTGCTGGGGTGCAGACGTGCAGCCGGCTGCCCCTTGCGGGAGGGCGAGGAGGAGGACCCTCACCTGGGCCTGTTCTCTTGACCCCTCCTCGCTGCAGTGCTGGACTCTCACAGACAGCCTGGCACCTTCCCCTCTGCTGTTCATGTTGGGCACTGCCCATCTCCAGGTCACGAGGCCCCAGGGACAGCCTACAGAGTGAAGGTAGTACTGGGGCCTAGAGAGGTGGAGACACAGAGCCCGTGGAGGTCTGGCCACACCCCACATCTCTGGCATTTGCACCTGTTCCGGGTGCAGGGTTGAGCCTTCCTGGAGGCCAGTGTGGACAGGAAACTCACTGCCATCTCCTCTCCTGCTCAGACTCATCCCACCTCTCAACCAGCTGGAGCTGCTGAGGAACCTCAAAAGCAAATCGGGACTCACCTTCAGGTCAGCTGCAGGTCTCCCAGGCAGGGGCTGGAGCTGTGGGGCAGGACGGGCAGCTTAGGCCTCCTGAGGGTCCCAGCTGCCCTGGCGAGTGGCAGGAAGCCTCCTGGGATGTGCTTGGCCATGGGTCTTATGATATTGGTGCTTTCTGCTTCCGCTGACCTACTCAGCTCCTGTCCCGGAGAGGACGGGTGGGCACGATGGGAGGGATACAGGGTGAAGTGTGCAGCGTGCATGACTGTTCATGGCTGTGCTCGGCACCCAGGTGGTGGCACCTTTAATCACAAGTTCTGCTGCTCACTTCTTGCACTGCTCTGGCACATCACTGATGTGCTGAGGGCCTGTGTGCAGGCAAGCGCCGTCTGTCCTCAGCAGGGCAGTGGGGTGGTGGTGTGTCTTGTGGCAGCCTCTGCTATGCAGAGGTGGGTTCATGCTTTGGTCCTGTAAATACGATCCTTAGCATCTGCATCACACCTGGGTTGGCCAAGGGGGCCCAGATTCCAGTGGCATGTCTTGATCACAAGGGGGATATTTGAGGACACGGAGAGGGGCAGACGTGGGCAGAGGCTGAGGTGATGCTGCCATAAGACAACAATATCTAGAGCCACCGGAGCTGGAGAGGCAGCAGGGACCCCCCAGAGCCTTCTTTGGAGAGTACAGCTGCCAACCTCAGTGTCAGGCTTCTAACCTCGCAGGCATGAGAGGGTGGCTTCCAATATTCAGCCACCATTGTGCATTCTGTTATGGCAGCTCCAGCAAACCTGGGGGCTCTGCTGTGCACCAGAGCAGGCAGGTGAGGGGCAGGGGGCTCTGAGGTGCAGCGCAGGGGACAGGTGAGGAGCAGGGGGCTCTGAGGTGCAGCAGAGGGAGCAGGTGAGGGGCAGGGGGCTCTGAGGTGACGGGGAAGAGGTCCTAGGTGCAGTAGAGCAGGCCCTGCTCCCTGAAGGTGGTGGGTGGAAGCTGTGCTGAAGGTGGTTCTGGTGAGCAACGGAGGAGAAACTTTCTGTCATTGAGCAATTACTTGTATATTGTTACATACAAATGGATGTTGCCAGAATTCTGACTGCCTGCAGTGCTTCTGGTGCTGCTCAGAAGGAAGGGAGCAAAGGATGAGTTCCTGCAGACCAAGGAAAGCTGGTTCTCACTGCAGGGTGGCAGAGGCGTGGCTGGGTCTTCTTTTCTGTGGAAGCAGAATCAGTGATGAACTTGGGGACTTGGCCAAAGAGGGTTCCTAGCCAAATGTGGAAGTGCCGCCTGGCTGCTCTGTACTAACAACAGTGAGGCTGGAGAAGAGACGTCCAGGGGGTGCTGCTAAGAGAAGCCAGAACCTGAAGATTTGGGAGTTCCCAGCTGTCCAGGGAGCAAGCCTCGTAAATCAGGAGGCACTCTGGGAAGCTTGCCCAGAGCAAAGCCCGCAGGTGAGGCTGGACATCCTGCAAGGAGAGTGGGCGTGTGGCTCGTGGACCCACTGAACCACCTGAGCAGAAGCCAGGAAGGAGTGCTGTCTTACAGCCCTGAGAGGAGCCAGAGGCTTTGAGCCACAGGAACACTGCCAGCACCCATGAAAGGAACAGAGGCTGCCGGCTGCTGGATTGTCCTGCAGGAGTGCGGCTGCTGCGGTTGCCCAGCTGCAAACCCCAGCTGCCCTTCAGAACAGGGACCTCCCAGAGCTGGGGGAGCCGATGGTCGTTCAGAGCTCGAAGCCCGGACATTACCAGTCACACTTTCACCTTGGGTGCAGGGACCTCCGTTACTTCTTCCTTCTGGAACCGAGATGTCTGCTCTTGCTGTCTCTCCACTGTAGCTTTGAAGCAGGAGCCTCATTCGGCCATCAGATGGCTCACAGGAGCCTTACCTTCGTGGCTTAAGTGGTTTTAGTTGAGACTTGGGACTCCCTATGCTAGTGGCATTTAGATGACATTTTAGATGGGGAGTTGGCACTGCACTGAGCAGAGACCTCAGGGTGGGTATGGGGCGAGTGCACTCAGGACCTAGGTGGATGGGGACTTCTGGGAGCACCCCCAGTAGGATCCTGGCCCAGAGCTTGTGAGTGTGACTCCTCTTGGAGGAGGGTCTTTGTGGAGGTCATCAGTTAAGGGTCTTGAGGTGAGGTTGTCCAGTGAGCCTCAGCTCAAGCATAGCTATCCTTCAGAAAGACGGGAGACACAGGGCACAGAAGAGAGCTCTGGGGGAGCCAGAGGCAGGGACGGAGAGATAAGCCAGGAGTCGAGGGACAAAGGGCCCAGATCTGGAAGAGGCAGCAAGGTTTCTCGCCTGCACACAGGGAAGGTGCCCTGCCCCTGGCACATTGGCCTTGGGTCTGTGGCCTCCGGACCAAGAGAGGAAATGTCTGTTGTTTAAAGTCAGGTTTGAGGCAATTTGTTGCAGTATCCTCAGGAAGTGACGGATGACCTGAGCTCCTGGCTGGGGCGCTGGGGCCTGCCTGTGGAGCCCAGCACCCTCAGCCTGCTCCAGATACCTGAGCTTTAGCATGCCCCAGGATGGGCCTCCTGTGAGGCATGTTGTTCCTGGGGTACAAAGGCCCGCCAAGGTGCTCTGGGCTCCTCCTTGAGGACCCCTGGCCAGGCAGGAGCCTGGCCACACCCTCTTCCTTTGCAGCTGCTCGCTAGGCCCAGGTTGTGGCATCTGTACCAGCTGTGTAGGGTGCTTGGAAGTGCACAGAGGAGCCCCAGTACTGCAGGAGACTGGCCTGAGTGCTCTGAGGGGTCACCCCCGAGCCTCTGAGCTCAGTGGAGGGACACCAGAGCCGCTGGTCTAACGTTCTATTTACAACTCACATGACCAGCAGAAACATCCACCCCAAATTGAACCACCATGAGCAAGAGGACCTTGGGAGCAGGACCTGGGGTCAACTGGCCACATCACATCACCGCTAGAAAACCACATGAAAGAAAAATGGCATTAGGAGCTTTCTTCCGCAAACATTTTCTTTTTGAGATCTGTGAATGCCCAGTGGAAGTGCGCTCTGGGTGGGAAGGTGGCGGGCCCCTTGGGGTCCCTGCTCCCTCTGACCCTCCCCTGGTCCCCAGGCATTGCTCTCTCGCAGGGCAGGTACTCTCAGGAGGGCAGTATCTCTGTGCCTCCAACCTGTGGGAGGATGGGGCCTGGGGCATGGGGGAGGCCCTTGGGTGGGTGCAGGTCCCCACTCTGGGCCACAGGTGCTCTGTGGGGGCCAGTCCGAGTGAGCAACTGCTAACTCTCTTGTTCTCTGTTTGAAGGAAGGAGCCCCAGCCTGAGCCCTCTCCAAGGTCAGTGCCTTCCTGCCTCCAGCTGCCTGGCGTGTCTGCTGCGCGCACCGTCTGGCCTTGCTCCCTCTGTGTGCACCGCGTGTCCTGGGGCAAGGGCTGCTGGGCGGACCCTGTGTGTGCTTTTGTGTGCGACCACGTGACTGAGTGTCCTGGCCCACCCTGAGTCACCCCTTGTTCACAGCCCTCTCCCAGTATTTCAGATGTACTCTGCAGCACTGTGGGCCTGAAGGGCTTCTCTGGTGGGCCTCCAGCCTACCAGTCCTCCTGGGGACCCTGAGGCAGGGTTTTCTAATAGATTATTCCCTCCAAGCACTCGGCCCAGATTTGCAGCTGGTCTGAGCTGAGCCCCAGGTGAAAACTCACAGTGGGTGGCCCCCTCCTGCCACTCTCGACCAGGCATGGAGGAGAAGCCAGGCCAGAAGCTGGTGGAGGGCCTTCAAGTCCAGCCTTGCGGAGGACCTTTCTCTGTGGACAGTCTGGAGCCAGTGGGAGTCAGTTCCTCCTGTCCTGCAGAGGCTGGGCGGGCTGCTCGCTCCCCGTCTCACACCTCCTGGCTGGAGGCCCTGACCTCACTGGGTTTCCTTTGCTGAGGTCAAGGTAGCCAAGGGGTCATCCAGGTGCTTAGGGTGGCTCCCTCCCTTTGGGCTTCTGCTGGCCACTATGGGGCTATTTGGCCAGGAAGTTAGGGCTCATGGAGCCAGTGCTGCAGAGGTAGAGAAAGGCCAGAACTGGCTGCTGTTTCCTAGTACTTCACAGAACGCCACGGGAGCCACCATGCCTCCCTGTGACGTCCCCAGCTCCTCTGAGCCGGGGTGTATCCCCACCCAGTGCCCTGTCCACCCGTTCCTGAGCTCCTCTGAGCTGGAGTGTGTCCCCACCCAGTGCCTCATCCCCACCCAGTGGCCCTTCCACACCAGTGCCCTATCCCCACCCAGTGTCCCATCCACACTCAGTGTCCTGTCCACACATTTAGAATAAACCTGACACCCAGCCCCCGTGACTAGGATGGATACCTCCTGGCCCCCTCGTGCCCTCCTGGACCACAGGGTGATCCAGCTGGCCGGATGTCCAGGAGCTGCTCTGGTGGGGGAAAGGCAGGACTGGGCCAAACCCCTCCTCTCTGTCCCCTGGAAAAGGAGCTGACCCTTCACCCTCTAAGCCCCACAAGAGGGAAGAATCACTGGTGCCCTGAATTGGAAAGACGGGCAACACTGTTGCCTGATATCAGCTGACAACAACCCCTAGCAGCCCCCAAAGAGGCCGAGAAAGCTGCCCTTGGAGCCAGAGGGGAGGAGGGTCGGCCCCCGTCGGTGCTGGCTGGTATGTGGCTGGCGCTGTTGACAGAACAGGGACGAGAAGGGGCTGAAACAGGAAGGGGCACCCCGTTCACGTTGGGCTGCCGTCCAGAGGGCACGGTTCTCACTGTGGCTGTGGCTGGCCTCTCCCACACTGCCCTCCACTGGCCCTGGGGCTGGGCATTGGTGGAGGGGGAGCCCTGCGCAGCCACGGAGGCTGAGGCTGACCCTTGCGGGGAGCGACTGGCCTGGGGCCTCCTGGGCACCCCACCTCCCGCTTGTTGCCGTGGCTTGGGCTCTCCCCGTCTCAGCCTGTCTCTCTTTCTCTCCCTCTCCCGCCCCATCTGGAAAATCTTGCTGTCCCCAAGTGCTTTTAATCACTGTCACTGCCCTTCTGGGCCCCTTTCTCGTCTGCTCTGTCTTTTGGGATGAGGTGCTGGCCCTGAAAGCAGGACTCCAGGTGAGGACCCACGGAGCCCCTGGCTCTCTGGTATGTTCCGTGGCTCCCTGCTCCCTGTCCCGCCACTCCTCTGTCTCCCCGCCTGTCGGTGGTCCCTGCCTGCCTGTGCCTCCCCACGCCCTTCCCCGAGGGCAGCGCCTGCTGAACAGCCCTCCTGGGACGCCCCTGGTAAGTGCTCAGTTGGGGCAGTCGACTTGGGGCTCCTCTGCTGGGAAGCGCTCCCAGGGTCTCAGCAGCTGCACCTGGCTCCCTGCGGGTGGAGGCGCCAGGAAGGCCCCTGGGCGCTGTGGGTATGAGGAACAGTTTCTGTCAGTGAAGACTATGCACCCTTCCCTGGGACGCCCTCCTGCTGGACAGGTAATGGTGGGTGGTGTCCATCCCCGTCTGGGGCAGCCACAGTTCCCTGTAGCAGCCAGCACACTGTAGGTGTTCAGGAAGCCTGTTACTTGGGTGACAAGCAGGGGCGCCTGTCCCACAAGATGCTCAGGGAGCTTGGCTCCCAACATCTCTGCTGCCCCAGGCTCAGCCATGCCGTGGGAGTCCGTGCCCCTCTGAGGGCCGCGCTCTGCTCCTGCCTGCCAGGACCTGGGCTGGCATCAGCCACGCTCTCCAGTCCTGGTCCAGGTAGCCCAGGGTGCTTAGCCTGGCGATGGTGGCACACCCCTGATCTCTCGGGGTCCTCGGCTCCTGAGGAGACCCACCAGACTATGCTGGAGTTGTTGGGGGTGGGGGTCGGGAGCCAGGGCAGGTGGGGGCCCTGGCCTGTGCTGCTCTGCCCCATTCTCTGTGGCCCTGTCCCCTTCCTCACTGCCTCCTGCCCCCATGCCTGTGGAGCCCTGTGCCCTAGCATTGCCCCTTGCCATGGGGGCCTCCCCTTCTTCCCAGGTGGAGGCATCTGTGTGTGGTGTATGTCTGTCCTGTCTGGTCCTGGCCGGTGTCTGTGGGCATCTCTGCCCCCAGGGTGCCCCAGAACTCCCGTGGTCTTGCTTGCTGCTCCTGCCTATGGACTGGAGGTCTGATGGGCAAAGCCCCACTTGACTGATGGGGGGCCAGTGCCATCCTCAGGCCCAGGGGGAGGGCACAGCATCATTCTGGCCTGAGTCGGGATCCTCAGCACCCCACCGAGCAGGGGTATCACTCAGGAGAGCTGAGGCCCTGAGGAGGGGACCCCCTCCTCTCACTCTTGTTGGGCTCTCAGACTATGCTGTCTTACGGGACTTGTGTGTAAGACACTGGGCACAATTCCTGAGTCCCCAGTGTTCAGTGGCCACAACATCAGAGTGTGCAGCTGCTGAGCATACTCTCCACTCCCCAGCCCTGGGCCTCAGGGCCTGGAGGTGCATGGTGTGCAAAGTGCCCAAGGGCTCAGAACTGGGGACTTATAGAGGTGCTGGGAACAGGAACCTCCTTCGCCGTCCTTCCCCATGGGGTGGGAAAGGCCTCCTGAGGGTCCTGGGCAGCAGCCTTGTGTTATGGCCTGAAGACCGCAGTGGGCAGAGGGGGTCAGGGCTTTGCTTGCTTGGCAGGCTTGGGTGCAACTGGTGCTGAAGGCTGGCAGGGTTTCTGAGAGCGGTGGGATACTGTGGGTACCACCTGGGGCCAGATAACTGGGTGCTCTGCTGACAATCCTCCTATAGCAGGTGGCCAGCACATGGAGTCCAGCCATGGCCCTCCACCCCCAGAGTGACTGGGGAGCCCAAGCCACCTCTGTACTTAGAAGCTAACCCATGTGAGGGCTTGGGTAGAAGCCTCTCCTGCTCAGAGTCTTGCTGGGAGACGGTCCAGGGCTCCTGGCCTGTCTGGGCAGCAGGTGCCCTTTGAGCAAGCCCCCAGCCAATTACCTACGAGTTAGTGAATTGCATCCTTCATGCCTAAGTGGAGAGAGTTGTGTATGGGCAACACAGAGGGCCACCATCAGTGTTAAATAAATGTGCAAAGGGGAACAAGCCTGGGCGCTTTCCCCCTGGGGCTTGTGCGCTTCTGACTTGAGGCCGTCGTTAACACTGGGGTCCCCAGGTGCAAAGGTGCTGTCTCAGAGGGACCTGGATGTGAAGGGGAAGCAGTGGCCTGGAAGAAAGGGAAGGATTTCTGTAATCGTGGATAGTTTCCGTTTTTATTTAAACACCTGAACGTGTTTAGGTGTTTAACGTGTTTAGGTGTAAACAAAACGTTTGTTTGTAGAAATCAATCCAAGGGCATGGGGGAGGTTGTTGGGAAAGTTGAACTGAGGACCCTCCGCAGGCTGCAAAGGGCCTCAGCACAGAGGCGACTTGTGAGGTCCCAGATGAACTGACTCGGTGAAGAAAGTCCTTTTAAATCTAGGTGTCCCTGAGTCCCCTTTTCCTTGTCTTCCCTCCAGATAGGGGCAGCCACTGCCTCCTGGGTAAACTGAGGCCACTTCCAACTGGGCGACAGACTGGCCTGTGGGAACCTCACATTTTTCCTCCCTGGACTGCATGTTTCACTGGGGTCACTTCCAGGATCGTGTCCATCCAGAACCAGCTCTTTGCAAAATCTTAGCACGTGTATTATTTTTTATTGGCATGAATACAGCAAAAAATAATACATCTTTTAAGACATCAGCTCAAACTCTGGCTTTGGAAGGAAAAGGTATTTTTGGAGGAAAAAAAAAAAAACCCGACTTATTTTTCTCCAAAAATAGGGGACTATTTTCTTTTCCAGGCTGCGGGAGACTTTCGCAAGCAAATCCCTTTCGCTCTCCTTGCTCAGACGCAAACTCCCCCTGCAGCTGGGGGTCTGCGAGCCCAGAACCGCCCCAGGGTGCTCGGGGCGCCTCAGGGTACCTGCTCGCCGGGTCCTGTTGCCGCCCCCGGGACTAACTCTGCTCTCCTCATTTCCAGTAAAGGCAGACCGTGCAGAGGGTGCCTGTGTGGATGCTGCCCCGGACACTCTAGGTACCGCGCGATGCTGCACGGACTGGTGCCCCGCTGCACGCTCCTGCCCTCCCTGCTTATTAGAGGTTCGGACAAGCGGGCCGGCGCCCGCCCAATTCTGCCCGCTCCCTGGGGCCACAGACCCCGAGCGAGTGCAGGCGCCTCCTTCCGCCTTACTGACCCCGCCCTGCCCGAGGGTTGTTGCCTTGGAAACAGTTCCTGCCCTGGGCGAGTTTCCTCTGGCTGGTCAGTCTAGCACCTCTACTAGGCACTGAGGCCCATCCTTAGCGCCCTGCTGGGGGAGGCAGCTACTGTGTGACACCCCACCCCAGAGGCAGAGGCCCTGGCTCCCCCTTCTGACTTACAGGTCTGGGTTAGGGCAGACTGGAAACAGGACGGTGGAAAGGCCCCTCCCTGCACCTTGACCACACCTTTCCTGTCCCTGTCTGCTGTTGGGTGTGTGAAGGCATCTGTCCTGCTTGCTCTGGGGGCCCCTTGCCCCTGGTCTTCCTCTCCTACCCGTCCCCTTCCTGGCTGGTGCAGCCCAGCTACCAGCAGGCAGCTGTGAGGTGCCCACCGGTGGGAGCGCACCTTGTCCTGTGCATGAGGTCGGTCGGTGCCGGGCAGCATGCTTGTGCATCTGCATCCGTGCATGCTCCGGATCCTTCTCCACCGGGAGAGGCTGCAGGGTCGCCCCACCCTGCCCCACAGGGCCCCTCTGCTGCCTGTGTGTTCTGGAGGTGGGCGCTTGTGGGGGAGGCTGCAGCAGCCCCAGAAAGGGCTGCCGAGGGAGGCGGCCTGCTCCGCCCTGGCTGAAGCTCTCCTGCTTGCCCAGAGTGTCTGTGTCCAGAGCGCTTCTGGCCACAGGTGGACCCTTGGGGCAGGGGCTGAAGTCAGGCTGCTTGGGAACCAGGAGGGTTTGGAAGTGTGGGCAGCAGGAGCCCCGCCAAGATCTGCCCTGCTGTGTGTGTTCTCACAGAATGCCGCCTGCCCTCCCTGGGCATCATCTGTCCAGATGCAGGCTGGGTAGTTCTCTGTGGATGCCCGCTAACTGCATTGCTGAGCTGGACCCCTGTGTGCTGACCAGACAAGGGCCATCTTGCCACTGGTTCCCACTTGAATCTCACCAAGAAGAGGGTGACAGGCAGGGACAGGCTGGCCTTGTTCTCTCTCCCAGGTTCTTCCTGCCCTGTAAATGCCAAAGCACCAAGCCTTGACACAAGAGGGGGCCCTGGCCGTGGGCAGTCTTGCAGGGCAGGTGGAGGGAGCTCTTCCTTTGTCCTGGCTTGGGAGGGGAGGCAGAGTCTCAAGACTCTTGGCTACCCTCCTGCCCAAGTTGAGGGAAGCTGGGTGGGGACCAAGTGTCCCCCAAGTGTCAAACCCACTGTCCCTTCCTCCAGCACCTCGCCCACAGGCCTCAGGTGGGATCAAGTCTGGGAGCTGGGGAGGGAGACTCCTTCCTTCCCTGAGCTCTGCCTTCCTTCGAGGGTCTGGAGAGCCTGCTGGCTCTGACTTGGCGGGGAGGAAGAGACTGTGGGAAGGAGGTCGCGCTGGGGTTCTTGCCTAGAGAGGCCTGCAGCAGTCACCCCCAGCCCCGCTTCCCGCAGCTCCGCGCAGCCCCTCTCTGGGCAAGGCGTGGTCTGGGTGGGGGGGGGGGGTCTGTGCGTCGCGTCGCGGAGGAAGCAGGAATCTGATGCGCACCCTTGACACACACATTCCTGACTCTTCAAGACCCAGGAACCCAGGAGGATGTGGGGCACCGCGCTTCACCGTGGTGACTGGAGAGGAAGGGCCAGTTCCTTCCCCTCCCATCACTGCTTAGGCTGGAGTGGGAGGAGAGGAAGTGAGACCTTGGCTTCCCACGTGCCCTGGAGCCTGCCCAGAGGGGGCCTGGAGGGCAGGTTTTCCTGTACTTGAAGTGGCTTGTTGAATGTGGAGGAGGCTCCCATAGGAGGCAGAAGAACATTCCAGAAGCCAGAATCCTCCTGAGGACAAGTCTGGGTGCCCAGTGGGCTTTGGTGCTCCTGTGGCCCCTCAGCCTGGGATGGTCATTTATAAATGGCTCCAGCATCTGGCTCTCCCTGGACCAGTGGGGGGTCTCTCTTGGGCTGGAGACCAGAAGGTCATCTGGGTCCTGGGCCCTACCCTTCTGTGTTGGCCTCAGTGGAAACAGAGGCAGACTCAGGGCCAGTGTTTTGAGCACCCAGATGCCAGTGGTTCCTGATACGGGACACAGGATGCCTCAAGACCACCTGGCCCTCTGCCCTTAGTGGGCTCTCTGTCCAGGGCACAGGCCCAGGGATTTCTTTCTCTGCCTCTTACTTAGAGACTCTTGAGCAGGCACAGGTGTTCTTTGAGATTGTCTGCTGTCCAGGGGTGGGTTGGGGAGGGGACATGGGCTCTATCTGCGGTGTCCCTGCTGGGTGGACTGGGCTCTGGGACTGTCTTTTCTCCAAGGTGGTTACCTCTGCTGCCTGCTTCATGTGTCTCTCTGGCCATGTGTAGCAGTTGGGGCCGCTGTGGTGGGGGTGGAGTCAGAGACACTAGCAAGTGACACTGGGCATTGGGGCTTCCTCTTGGAGGCCTCTGAATTTCGTCAGGCCTCCTTGATTGCTGTGCTCAGCAAGGGCCCTGCTGTAAGCCATCCTGGGAACCTGTGGCTCCCCATAGCTGGCACGAGCAGGTCCTATTCACAAGGACCTGCTCTCCTCTGGGGCGATGCAGAGTCACAGCAGAAGGAGGGAGGTCCTGTCCTGGATCCAGGGCCCGATGGTTCCCAGAAGGAAGAGTGGAGGCCATGTCTGCCTGGAGCAGCCCTATCATGGACATCCATGTCTCCTGCTGCCTGGGGGACGTGGGAGCCCGTGAACACGGGTGTCTGCCAGGTGTCCATGGTTACCAAGAAATGCAAGGTCTAGGGAGGCCCAAAGACCTTCAAGTCTGGAGACAGCAGCCTGACTGGAAGGACTTTCTGGGAATGGCCACTTCCTCATATCCTTGCAGCTGCCTCTTCCCGCCCTGGGGCTGGGGCTTGGGGGAGCAGGCCTGAGAATACCAAGGCCAGCTGGGGCACCTGGTCCCAGCTATCTTCCCAGAGCAGATGGTAGTTGTCCAGGCGTGAGCTGGGGAAGATAGGGCAGGCACTCAGAGGAGGCCAGGTGTGCCAGGGTCCATCAGGAAGGCTGGTGACTGGACAAGCATCTGCGGGAGCCTGGCCCCTGACCCCAGCAGGCTATATAGAGAGGGAGGGCTGCTCCTGGGAGTGTTGGGAGGGCCTGTGGGAAAGCTGCAGGCAGGGCTGGTGCAGACTGAAGGTCCCAGGGACGAGCCCCTCCCTGGGGCGCCTGGCCACTCTCTGGGTGTCACCTTGAGGGGATGGCAGGACAGTGTGCAGAAGGCTCTGGCACTTGGGGGTGGTTGCTGAGTGATGTAAGCCGGGGGGGGGGGGGGCACCTCCCCACTCCCTGGCACGGCGCTCTGGCCATACCTGTGCGGCCCCTTCCTGCGCGCCCTGGCTTCACCATGGTGTGGTTGGTTGTTCTTTGGACCTGAGTCTTCTCTGGTCTTGTGGGACAGCACTGGTCGTGAGCACACATGGCCCATGTTCTTTCCGGAGTGACTTCTCTTGCTGTTTTTCTGTGTCTGTCTGTCTGTCTGTCGGTTCTCATGGGAGCAGCCAGAAGGTCAGTTTGAAAGACCGTGTCTTCTCCAGCCCCCGAGGCGTGGCCGCCAAGGGGAAAGGGTCTCCCCAGGCCCAGACGGTCCGACGGTCACCCAGCGCTGACCAGAGCCTTGAGGACAGTCCAAGCAAGGTGCCCAAGAGCTGGAGCTTTGGCGATCGCAGCAGGGCACGCCAGGCTTTCCGCATCAGGGGCGCTGCGTCCCGGCAGAACTCGGAAGGTGGGTCTGCACGGCTGGGAGCCTGCTAGGAGTGCCTGGAGCACTAGGGCACCGATGCAGCTCTGCCGCAGGGAGGTTCCCACCCCACCCCAGGGGAAGGTCACATAAAATGGGCTGTTTTAACCACACTGCTCAGTGGCATTTCAAACCCTGGGGTTCGCCACCATCACCCCTGCAAAGGGCCCCATGCCCACCCGCAGTCTCCTTCCACTTCCCCAGCCCTGGCCACCACTGCCTGCTGTGTTTGGTTTCTCTCCTGTGGGATCGTGCAGCTCCTGACCCACGGTGGCTGCTGCTCCCCTGAGCGAGGTTCCCAGGTGCAGCCATGCTGTCTCGTGTCAGAGCCGTGTTCCCCTAGTGGCTAGGCAACGTGCTGCGTGTGGAAGGGCCACTGTGGTCAACTGCCTCTGTACCAGGGAGGCCCTCTTAAGCCCTCACACCTGTGGGAGAGGAAGGGCTGCAGAGAGGCATGATGGGCAGGTCTGCAGTGTGAGGGGCCTGGTGGCCACGTCCACTCACATCTGCACATCCTTCCACCTAGAAGCAAGTCTCCCTGGGGAGGACGCAGTGGAGGACAACAAGAGCTGTACCTGTGAGTTCGTGACCGAGGACTTGACCCCTGGCCTCAAAGTCAGCATCCGAGCTGTGTGGTGAGGGATCTGCATGACCCCCCTTGGTGCCCATGCAAAGTCCCTCTGCTGGGCCTCCCCTTTGGTGCTGGGCCCTGGCCACCGAGTTCACAAAGTGGGTGGTGCAGACACGGCCTAGGTGCAGTGGGGGCTGAGGCAAGGAGGTCGGGAGCTGCTCAGCTGGCAGGTCCAGGTGGACGAAGGTTGTCTGTGATGCCGGGCACTAAAGTGGCTGGTGAGCGGCCTCCAGCACCCACAGTTGCAGAGGTGCTGGGAGGGTGACAGGCTGGTGGACACTGGGGCCAGCGTGTTCTCTGGCTCAGAGCTCATGGCTCTGCCTGGCCATTGCAGTGTCATGCGATTCCTGGTGTCCAAGCGGAAGTTCAAGGAGAGTCTGCGGCCCTACGATGTGATGGATGTCATCGAGCAGTACTCTGCTGGACACCTGGATATGCTGTCCCGCATCAAAAGCCTGCAGTCCAGGCAAGAGCCCCCACCTGCCTCCCAGCCCAGGACCTTCAAGGGCCTTCTGGGCCAAAGCCCAGGGCTGGCTAGAGGGCCCCTGGGGGCCGGCCCGGGAGGGTGCAGGGCAGGAGCAGTGCTAAGGTGGGCCTCCCACCGCCGGCGTCTGCCAGCTTTCTGCCCTGTCTTCACAGTCTGTCTCTAATATTTTTCTGTCTCCCCTCTCTCCCCCGACTTCCCTGCACTGTGGTGGGCAAGTTTTTTGTGTGTGTGTGTGTGTGTGTGTGCGCACGTGCACATGCACACTCACATGCATATCTGTGCACATGCATGTGTGTGTGAATGTGCACATGTGAGGGTCTCTGGATGAGGGTGCACACGTGTATGTGTAGGTGCATGTGTGTGTGCATGTGTGTGCCCATGCATGTGTGTGTGATGTGCGGGTGTGTGCACGTGTGCCTGTGTGCTGTGCCGTGTATGCACACGGATGAATTGGTGCATACACGTGTGTACACATGTGCACGCGTTGGGAATGGAGTTTCCCTAGGAGAGATGACTCTGCCAGGCAGCACACACTGCCATCCCTCTTCTTCAGAACGTGATTGTCTACCCATTGTAAAGGAGTTGCCCCACTTCCTGAGTGCATCTAGGCTTGGTGGTAGCTGGGCACCCACTGGTGTCCGTGTGGGGAAGAGGCTAGCTAATTCCTGGAATTCCATGTCCATGCATCACAGCATGAATGGGGGCCTGAGCACACACATGCACAGGTCTCTGCACATGTGCACACAGGTCCACATTGTGGCCTGTGCTCTAGCCTACACCCCCCAGGGTGCTCACAGCCAGTACATGCACACGTGTGTGGCCACACATGTGGTGGCACCTGTAGGGAGCCACATGCTGCAGGAGTTTCTCCTGAAGGAGGTCCCAGACTCTACTGGTGGGGTCCTCCCCATCCACGGCTTCCAACAGAGGCTGTAGCTGCTTCCAGCCTGGAGGTGCAGTTGGGTCCAGCTCACATGGAGAGGGTCTGGACAGTGAAGGGCAGCCCGGAGGCCATGGCAAGCTCTGATGGGGAGGTTTGGCCTCTCCTGCTTCAGGTGACAGTGGGGCCTCTCAGGCCTTAAGCTACTCCCCAGATGGGGTTCAGGGAGGCATCTCCTCCTCTGCCGGGCTTAGGCTGGGCCTCTCCTGGCCTTCCCAGAGCAGACTAACTGCCAGATGGGACTCTGTGCCTCTCCTGCCCATGCTGGTCAACTGCCTGGTCAGCTGCCTGCTCAGCAGGTCCTTCCATCCACCTTTCCCCCTCTCCTTCCCTGTCTGTCTGAAAAACAGACCAGTCAGCCTGGGGAAGCCGGACGGCCCTCGTCCGTGATGCCCCATTCATGCTGTGCAGCCCCGCACCTTCTCTGGGATTTGGCTCCCAGCACATGCACCCATTTCCATACCTACCTGAGCTCCCTGCTGAGGCTGGGCTGCCCACAGACCAGCTCCTGGAGCGAGCCCTGTTCAGCATGCCCAAGGGCCATGCGTGCGGCCAGCCCCTTTCTGCTGGGCACACAGGTTCCTAGGAAAACCGCTACGGTCTGAGTGGGGCTGTCCCATTGCTGAGCTTCCAGTGACCCCTCTTGAGCTGCGTGACGATGCGTTTTGCTGGTGTCTCTTTTCTTGTTTACGCTGCCAGGATAGATATGATTGTGGGCCCCCCACCCCCTTCAACTCCCCGGCACAAGAAGTACCCCACCAAAGGACCCACGGCCCCTCCGAGAGAGTCACCCCAGTACTCACCTAGGTTAGGACGCCTCATCTCTTCCCAACCTGTCTTGTGAACGGCCAGTGCCTTCGCTCCAGGCCACATGACGGCGGCACCGCATACTGTCCTTTCCTCAGGACAGAGGGCACATCCAGGCTTTCTGTTCCTGCAAGTGCCCTGCACAGGGGAAGGCTGTCTCTCACAAGGGCCCCAAGGGGCAGTGAAGGGAGTCAGGACTACCCAGTGCCCTGCAGTCCACTTGGGGCAACCAGGGCTCCTCTCTGTGGATGTCCTTGTGAGGTCCACCTGGGGCTGGGGGACTCCTGGGCAGAAGCAGAGGACATCAGTGGCCACACAGGTGTTTCCTTGCCTGGCTGCAGACATGCCCTCCAGGCTGAGGCCCTCCCTGGTCTCCCTGGGCACTGACTGAGTCCAGCCCCCATACCTGCCTGTGACTGGGCCGGCCCCCGGACACACCTGGCTCACCCTTGGGCTGTATGCTCTGAGCAGCTGGGGCTGCTTCTCAGGCACAGCAGCAGACTCTGCTGCCTGCCTCTCACAGTTAGGAGGAGAAAATGAGGAAGCCTCTGCCAGGCACCACGGCAGGTGCTCCAAGTGAGCTCTGAAGTTACTTCAAGTTGTGGTCATGGTCATTAATAGTGATAAGGAAAATGGCAGGACTGCCCCCCCATCTGACAGGCAGAATGGAGGTCAGGGAACAGCCAGATGGCACACTCAGGCTCTTCAGGGGTCCAGTGAGACCTTCAGGGCCTCTGGCTTCCTCTGACTCCAGCAAGTCAGACAGGCCAGCGAGAGAGAAGCCCCTGGGGCAGGCCAAGAGGACAAACAGGGCATCTGGACGGAACTGACAGGCACAGCGTCTGTCTACCCCCTTGGCCAGGGTTGCTGCCCAGGAGGTTGAGGTTCATTGTGCTGGGCTTCTTCTCAGCCCAGCAGCTCTGGTCATGAGAGGGTGAGTCCCAGGGAGCAGGCAAGGTTGTGTCTGCTGCATCCTGACTCAGGGTGGCCCCTGACAGTACCTGCCGAGTCCACTGCTTGGCTGCTCTCTAAGACTTAAGCCTTGTCCCTTGGGCATTGCTGCAGGAGATGGTGACTGGGAGTCCAACCAGTGAGCCAGGAAGGCCCTCTGGCCCTCAGACCTCTCAGACCTTTGCAGCCAGGGACCTCCAGGTTCACCCCAGGGGCGTTGAGCATGTGGGGCAGAGTCCAACTCCCCAGCTGAGCCCAAGAGGAGGAGGTGGCAAGGTGGTTCAGGGTCTTTGGAAGACCCTCTCCCAGATGCCGCTGCAGCAGTTCTAGGCTGAGCCCTGGGCTGAGGCTCCCGTTGGGACCCACCAAGCAGGCAGCCCGTCATGTGGCCGGGGTGAAAGTGCTGTGCATCTGTGCCTGGACTATGTGACACTGGAACACCAGGGCCCGCCCCCTCCATTGCCATGGCATCTGCTTGGAGCCAGAGGCCCCCTCCCCTCGTGCATGAGTCTAGCATGAAGCCCGTGGAGCATGAGGAGGCTGCATCTGGCTGCCGCAAGTCTGGCCCTGTTCTGTTTCATGTGACAGAAGGAATATGCCCGGCTCCAGAGAGGCAAGCAGGGCATTCCTGCCTGCAGAAAGCAGCTGGGCACAGGCTGCTGTCCAGAGCTAGGTGGGCTGGTGGCCTTGGCCTGGGTTGGTCCTGCTCAGTCACCCTGTCCTGAGCTGCCGTTAGCCCAGTGTAGGCTCAGCCAGCATAGCATCTTGGTTTCTGAGTGGGTGTCCCACAGCTGCAGTTCTCGGCCCACACCTACTCCCCAGCCCCTGCCAGCCCTGCAGGACTCACTGTGGATCTGTTCAACAGGAGCTGGTCTCCAAGGGTAAAGGAGCCTCCTTCTCTTCTTATGGCATCAGTGACCTAGGGCCTCATTCAAAACCAGCTCAGCTGAATTCCATATCCTGCATATGAACACACATGCAACACACTCTCACTTGCATACATGTCCATGTGCACACCCACTCACACACATGTGGACACATGTAAGATACATTCACATGCATACATGCCCACATGCATAGCCTCTACACACATGCTTGTGAACACATGCTCAGGCACATAGTCATGAGCACATAGATGTATGAGCACATGTACAATGCACTCATACCCATGCACACCCATGAATGTGCACACATGTACAATGCACTCACATGCATGGGCACACCCATTCTCACACACACACACACACTGGTTGGTGGCGGCTTGTCCCAGCCCTCCTCTGGTTGTGTGGCTCTCTTCCCTTTATCCTTGTCCTGGTGCATGGAGCTGCAGCCCTCACCGCCTCCTGCTTTTGTTGTCCCTGCTGCAGACATCTAACTGTCCCTGTCAGACCCTGTTGGGGTCAAGGGCCTCAGTGGCACATTATGTAGGAGTAAAGCTCAGGGGTGGGATGGCTGTGGCTTCTGGAGCAAGGGCACATCATGCCATGCTCCCAACCTCTGGCTGGATGCCCACCAGCTTCCCTGACTTCTGGGCCTCAGTGTGCTGGGAGGCCAAAAAGCCACAGGCCAGGGAGGAGAGGAGCTGGGTGGGCAGGTGGGATGGGGGCCCGAGGGAGGACGGGGACTCTGCTGCAGAGGAGCTGGGGGTGGACTGGCCCCAGGGGAAGCTCCTTTACTTTACTCCTCTTAATGTGCCAGACCCCACTGGAATGGAATGGATAGGAACAGGACCCTGACGGTGTCAGAAGGCAGGCAAGAACGTGAGGCACCAGTGTCCGTCTGTCCTGGCACCTACTGCCCCCTGGTCAGCTCTGGGTTGGGCCTGGAGCCCAGATCTGGGGGCTGTGGGCTGACCTGGGTGGAAGGGGCAGGGGCCAAGCCACATCCTCCTGAACTCATGCTTGGGGGCCGGGTCTCTGTTCCCGGTAGAGTGGACCAGATCGTGGGGCGTGGCCCGGCGATAACGGACAAGGACCGCACCAAGGGCCCTTCCGAGGCGGAGCTGCCAGAGGACCCCAGCATGATGGGACGCCTGGGCAAGGTGGAGAAGCAGGTGGGAGGGGCTGGAGGAGGCCTCTGCTGTACGGGACCCTTGTTGGCTGGGGCGGAGAGGGGAGGAGGGGGTGTGGCCTCTGCTGTCCGGGGCGGGGCTCGGCTCCTCAAATCCAATATCTCTGGAGCCCGCACTTAAGTCAGAAGTGCCCAGAGTCTATGTTCTTTCCTCCATGTCCTGGGTGGGGTAGCTGGGAGACAGGATTTGCATTTGAGGATCCCCTGGGGGAAGGGGCCACTCTGCTGTAGGACCTGTCCGAAGTCACACCTCTCTGGCTTTCCTCCCTCTGGCCTTGCGACCCTGCCCCCACGGCCCTCGTCTGTTGGGAGGTAGGCCTCAGCACCGGCTCAAACTGACTGGTGGGGTCCGAGGCCCGGCTGCTGAGTCCGGGTTGAAGGAGGGGCAGCTGCCGCCCCCTCTCGCCCCTCCCGGCTCTCCCTCCGCGTCCCGGAGCCGCCCTGGGCCCCGGAAGCCTGGTCCAGCGGCAGCACCCTCTTTCAGGTCTTGTCCATGGAGAAGAAGCTGGACTTCCTGGTGAGCATCTACACGCAGCGCATGGGCATCCCGCCCACAGAGACCGAGGCCTATTTCGGGGCGAAAGAGCCGGAGCCAGCGCCGCCATACCACAGCCCCGAGGACAGCCGGGAGCACGTCGAGAAGCAGGGCTGCATCGTCAAAGTCGTCCGCTCCAGCAGCTCCACTGGCCAGAGGAACTTCTGCGCGCCCCCCGCCCCATGCCCGCCGTCCACCTCGTGGCAGCAGCAGAGCCACCAGCGCCATGGCACCTCCCCCGTGGGGGACCACAGCTCGCTGGTGCGCATCCCGCCGCCGCCTGCCCACGAGCGGTCGCTGTCCGCCTACAGCGGGGGCAACCGGGCCAGCACCGAGTTCCTGAGGCTGGAGGACGCTGCGGTCTGCAGGCCCCACGAGGCCGCCCTGCGGGACAGCGACACGTCCATCTCCATCCCGTCCGTGGACCACGAGGAGCTGGAACGTTCTTTCAGTGGCTTCAGCATCTCCCAGTCCAGGGAGAACCTGGATGCCCTCAGTGGCGGTTACGCGGCTGCGGCGCCCTGCGCCAAGGTCAGGCCCTACATTGCAGAGGGCGAGTCCGACACAGACTCGGACCTCTGCACGCCCTGCGGACCCCCGCCGCGCTCTGCCACGGGGGAGGGCCCCTTTGGCGAGGTGGGCTGGGCCGGGCCCAGGAAGTGAGGCCGCAGGACCCACCCACGCCACTCGGCCTGTCCCTTTTGGGGGCGTGAGCTCTGCGGGGTCTCTTCTGGAGTGACGTGTGCTGTGGGGCACCTGTGGGGCTGTCAGGCCCACTTACCCGTGCAGGCAGCAGGGCTCCTTGGCTGGTGCAGTGACATTTTGCAAAAGTTCTTTTCCAACCAGGGGCTGAAGGAGCACCCTGCAGCAACAAGCTGCTCAGCAGGGACAGACCTGGCCCGGCTAGTGAGTGGGGGCCAAGTGACCAAGGGGGCATGGCCATGGGGGTGTGGGCTGGGAGCAGGGCCCAGGGAGGGTGTGGCTGGGGCAGACTTGCCCCTGACGGTGGTGGCCTTGAGTTCTGGTGGGTGCCTAGCGAGGGCTTCAGATTCAGGAGGGTGTGATAGGCCACTGGGCATGGCCTGTCCCGGCACCTGACCACTTGTCCCCGGGTTCCCCTGTGTGTGAACAGCTGAGCAAGACCCCCACCCCTGGGTGCCTGGCTGGAGAGCTGCCGGCCAGCATCCCCCGACCCCTGCCAGCTCTGTGGGTCTTGCCAAGGGAGCTGGTCGGAGTTCAGGACCCCTTGCCTGGAGCTGAGAAAGGAGTGAGGCCTTGGGGACAAAAACCAAGCCCACAGTCACTCTGGACTCTCCTGAGAGGCCCACCCTGCAGCCTCCTCGGATAGGGAATTTCAAAGTTCGATCTGCCCTGACCCGGGGTCTCCCAAGCCCACAGGAGCCACAGCTTCCCAGCCACAGGAGTTCTGGGTGAGTCCCCACGATGTGTCCTTTCTCCTCACTGCCCTGGCTGGGTGCTGGTCACCAGGCTGTGGCTAGCCCTTTGAGCAACCCACACTGTCCTTAGCCAGGATTCACCCGGCTGGTCCCGCACCTGTGCTCCAGCAGACCAAGGCAGGGCTGGCTGGGGCCATCGCTGGGCAGGAAAGCCCTTTGGTTAGCTGGCTCACCCACTGCAGGTGGCTGCTGTGTGTTCTTCCCACTACAGCTGGCCACCCCAGTCATACTCTCCACTGGTGAGTCCCTGGCTATGGCCTCCCAGTGTTTGGGGAGTTGAGACATCCCTTCCCTGGGCCCTAGTGAGCAGGGACCTTGCTCCCTCCTGTCTGGGTGCCTTGGCCCACTGGGTATTCAGCTTTAGGGGCCTATGTCCAGCCACCAGGAGGCAGAGGGGGATGTTCTGGTCCTGTGGCCTTGGGCCTAGCAGCCTCTGGCATTCTGGCGATGGCATCATGGGGCCTGGGTGCTCTGAAGCAGCAGCACCCCCAGCTCTTGTCTGGAAGGAGCCCTCTTGCCGGCTGGAAGAACTTTGAAGCAGGGTTAGGGGGTAACATGCCCCTGGCCATTGGAGGTCCTGGGCACTCGGGGACCTTGGGAAACTGTCATCAGCAGTGGGTTAGTGGCTGTTGCAGCCTCAGTGCCCCTGCCAGGGCACCCAGGAGCTACCTGGGGCACACGGATGGGCTGCCTGTCAGGAGCCACAGACACATTCTCCTGACAGATCCACATGGCACTGTGGTTTTCAAGGACGGTATCATGTGGCAGAGAGCCCTCCAGTGGGGAGAAATGTCCCTTCCAGTGTGGGTGGCCACCCAACACCAATCCCTCTGGCTATGTCAGGCCTAGGATCTGAGTCCTCCTTGGTGTGGCACAGGGAGGTTCCAGCTGGGTCCACTGGCAGGAGGACAAGGTCAGCCAGCTCCAACACACCGCCAGCCCTAGCCCACTCCCTGCTGGGGCCCAAGGTCCCACACCGCTACCCTAGCCCACTCCCTGTTGGGGCCCAAGGTCCCAGGCTGCTCTCAGCCTGTGCAGGCCCCAGGACCTGGAGGAGGGGACTCTTTCCCTGAGGGAGGTTTGTTCCTGCCTTACCTGTGGCAGCATGCTGTGTGCCTCAGACACAGTGGGCACCTGAGGTACCAGGGCTGGGGCTCTGCAGGGTGAGTATGGCGGACAGTGGCCTCTCTAGAAGCCCCAGCCACTCTGCAGGACAGCAGGATGGCATTCCTTAGGTTGCAAGAGGAGGAGTAAAGGCTACACTGTTGGCCACTGTGCATCAGGAAGGAGGGTTGGTGTCCTGGCCATGCAGTCTGGCCCCTGGGGAAGGGAAGGTGTTGGACTCTGGGATGGTCTGGGGGCCCATTCTAGACAATGAAAGGTAGAAGCTCCTTCTTGGGTCTGCAGACCCAGGCCTGAGCAGCACAGCTGTCCACTGCCCCTGGGCAGCTGTCCTACCCTTAGAGAAGGAAGCTGGAGGTTTGTGTGAGAAATGTGTCACTTTCTTGGGGCCAGTGGCCACCCTGTGGCACACGTTTCCTGAGACAAGACATTGTTAGAGCATGCATACCCATGTGCCCACGTGCCCACTGACACATACAGGTCTGCATAAGACTCTCCTGCATGCTCACAGACCACGCACGCCAGATGCACACTTTCACACACACAGCAGATGTGCACTCACATGGACACACAAAACTCACATGTGCACACAAGTGCAAGCTCACAGCAGGTGCACTGTCACGCATACATATAAAGCACATTCACAGGCAGCACATGTACATATACAACCACATGTGGCCAGTACACAATCATGCCCACACATGCTCACACACATGCACATGTTAAGCGCACAGTCCACGTGTGCAGACACATGCACACACCCACCACGACTCTGACTTGGGCTGCCCTTTGTCTCTGGCCTTTTTCTCTTTGACTTTTCCTGATTTAGGCTGCCCAGGGAGGGAGCCACAGGAATTAATGACTTTACACAGAAGGTTCTAGAATGCTGAACACTAGGTGGGGGTTCCCACTGTCCAAGACTCCTGGACCAGTGCCAGAGGGGCCACCTTGAGCCCATTAAGGGCCCCATGCTGCCTTCTCCCTGGCTGGCTGGGCAGCTGTCCAGCACTTGTGGCCTGCTGAAGGCCTAGGGAAGCCAGGTGGGGACCCGGGGTTCCAGCACTCTCTGGTGTCCAGACCTGTTCCAGCTTAGCTGTGCTGGCCACCTGTGCCATTCTTAGACATGGCTTGGCCTCGTCACCCCAGGTCCTGTCTCAAACAGGTATTGCGTGTCCACCGTGACATTTCTGTCCCCCTGGTCACAGACTTCGAAGTCCACCCCATCTACAGTGGCTGGGACACCTGGAGGGTAGGCCACCTTCTCCCCACCTCCGGCTCTAGGCAGGGAAGGTGGCAGGGCCACGCCAGGTTCTAAGGAAACCTATTTAGGTGGGGAGGTGGGGATCGTCCCCGAGGCTTCCTGAAGGCAAAATGGGCCGAGGGCTGGGAAGCCTTTTGGAAACGCTGGGGTGCGTCTGGGCCACCCCGGCTGTAAGTGGTGTGCAGAGTGGAGGCTGTGGATTTGTGACGGATCTGGGCCTGCACAGCCAGCAGGTAACACTTCAGCTGCCCTCCATGGTCACAACCCTGTAAAACACACATGGTGGGGGTGGACAGCACAGCCCATTCAGAGTAGACTTAGAGGGTCTGGGTCATCTTGTGTCCCAGCAGGGCGGGTTGGCTTCTAGTGAGAGGCTCTGCCCATGGCCCCTGTGGGGCCCCAGTGCACATGGCTGGGGCAGACCTGGCACGGCCCTCAGCACCCTCAGCCATGGTGCAGACTGCCTGTCCTGTGCCAACCTCCTGGGCTACCTGCTTGTGTATGGGAGGTGAGCTGTGAGGTACAGAGGGCTGGGCATGGCCTCAGGGTCCACAGGCCAGAACTGCTGCCCAGGGACCCTGGGCGGCTGTCCCAGGCCAGCTGCTCTGGTTCTGCCTGGGCCCCAGCTGAGGCCTAGAACCACCAAGGAGGGGAGGTGGGGGGGGCTTCCCTACTCAAGGGCAAGACCCCACTTTCTCCCCCCTCTCTGAGACTTGAGCTCCTCCAGCTGCACACGGGTGGTTCATTCTGTGTGCCCAGAGCCAGAATGAAGGGGGACGTGGTTTGCTGTCTGGTGAGGTGGGGCTAAGAACCAGCTCAGGAAGAGGAGGGTGAGGGAGAGGGCAGCGGAGGGAAGGTGCTCCGTGGGAGGTGAAGCCCTTGCAGTTCTGCAACCTTGGTGCCCACAGCAGGGTTGAGTGAGCACTTGATGCTTGCCTTATACCCTGGCAGACCCAGGGTGCTGAGTCTCAGTGGCCCTGCCCCAGAGTTCTGCAGTGTCTGACCCTCTGTCTGGTGCCGAGAGGAGGGGATGGTTCCTGGGTCTCCTGGGCAGGAGGGCCCATTGCTGAACGCCGCACATCTAACTTGGACTGGGTTACACAAAGTCGTTGCCTTAAAAGCATTGTTGACAGAAACTCACTGAGGTCAGCCCAGACCCCTGGCCTCTGTCAGGCTTGGACACCTGGGACCCGCCTCTGGGTCAGGCAGCATGGGGCAGTCGCGAGCAGCAGAGGTCGCTCGGTTGCCTCATGCAGAGGCGCTCGCGTTGGCTGTCCCTTTTGCTGCTGCCATCCGCCCAGGCCAGCCTGGTGCACCCCATGCCCGCACCCATGCGCTGCAGTCTGTCTGGCCAGGGTGGCTGCAGCTCCCCACGCACCCTCCCGCCATCGGCCGCCTTTGCACTTTTGTTCATGCTCCAAAGAATTCTTCATGATGCCTTTGTGCTGACGCGCACCTCTGCCCACTGCGTGCACCTATGGACCGCGGCCTCCACCCTGCTCCTTTGTGAATGTGCTGCCGCTGCACACTCGAAACTAGAGCTTGTGCCCCATCTCCTAGGGACAGACACCAGGGCACAAGCACTGGTCTTCTAACGGATTAGCCGAGACGCCAACTCAGCACGGACAGGTTGATGCTTGTGTTACATGAATGGGCCAGCTCAGGCTTGCCCAGGGGACTCTGGGTGCAGAATCCCACGCCAGGGATGCACATAGACAGTTCTGGAAAGTTCTGCTGCCATGGGGCCAAGTCCAGATGCCCAGTGGGCCTGTGCACTTAATAAATGCAGTGATTCAACCTGGATTGTGAGTGGCCTCTTTGTTCTCCTGCCTGTGCTGCTGGTTGGAGAGCTGGGACGTGGCTGGGAGGAAGGCCCTCTCCCCAGCCCTCGGCCCTGAGCCCTGGGGCTGCCTTCCAATGCCACACACCAGGTTGCGTGAAACCCAGAAGCTATTATTCCCTGGCATTCTGGAGGCCAGAGGTCTGAGTCACCATGACATTCCCTGTTCCTGGGCT